TCACTAAACCGAATGAAGCTCAACAACAGCCTATTGATACCGTTAACAAAATGACTTTTTTTCAACCACAGGATCAAATCTCACCAGTAAAATCCCAGGCACCAACGCCCGAGCAAGTGATTACTAAGGAATTCCGCAACCTCCTTCTATCCTGCACCAACCGAGCCCACAGAAATCACTACGATTATTAAGCCAGTTAAAAATAAATCAGGAAATCTGGCTCAAGTTCCTCCATTATTGTACAAACAAGCAGCTCATGTTCTCTCACCTGCTATTTCATTACTCTTTAACAAATCACTAGAAACCAGCACTTCCCCTGCATTAGCGAGGTTCACACCAATACACAAAAGTGGTGACCCCACAGATGTAAACAACTACAAGCCAATTTCAAACTTACCATTGCTATCCAAAATCTTCGAGAAACTCGTACACAAGGGATTATATTCCTTTATAACAGCACAAAGCATCCTCAACCCTTGTCAGTTTGGCTTCAGTAAAAACAAAAGCACAAACGGCGTAATTGTAAAAATGCAAGACCTGCTTTACACTGTACTTAAAAAAAAATGAATTTCCATTAGGACTCTTTATCGATACAGTGGACCACAGCATCCTACTCCACATACTTGAGCATTATGGCATAAGAAGCCATGCACTTACATATTTCAAATTGAGGAAAATTAAAGCACATGGAATAGGAGGAGAAATTTTTTCCTGGATAGAGGCATGGTTGACAAATAGGCAGCAGAGAGTTTGCATAAATGGGGAGAAATCAGAGTGGGGAAGCGTCACGAGCGGTGTTCCACAGGGGTCAGTGTTGGGCCCCTGCTGTTCACAATCTACAAAAACGACATAGATGAGGGCATAAAGAGCGACATCGGCAAGTTTGCCGATGACACCAAAATAGGCCGTCGAATTCATTCTGACGAGGACATTCGAGCACTCCAGGAAGATTTGAATAGACTGATGCAGTGGTCGGAGAAGTGGCAGATGCAGTTTAATATAGACAAATGCAAAGTTCTAAATGTTGGACAGGACAATAACCATGCCACATATAAAACTAAATAATGTAGATCTTAATATTACGGATTGCGAAAAAAATTTAGGAGTTCTGGTTAGCAGTAATCTGAACCAAGACAACAGTGCATAAGTGTTCGCAATAAAGCTAATAGAATCCTTGGCTTCATATCAAGTAGCATAAATAATAGGAGTCCTCAGGTTGTTCTTCAACTCTATACATCCTTGGTTAGGCCTCATTTAGATTATGCTGCACAGTTTTGGTCACCTTATTACAGAATGGATATAAATTCTTGGAAAATGTACAAAGGAGGATGACAAGTTGATCCCATGTATCAGAAACCTTCCCTATGAGGATAGACTAAGGGCCCTGAATCTGCACTCTCTAGAAAGACGTAGAATTAGGGGGGATATGATTGAGGTGTATAAATGGAAGACGGAATAAATAAAGGGGATGTAAATAGTGTGCTAAAAATATCTAGCCTAGACAGGACTCGCAGCAAGGGTTTTTAAAAAAAAAACCTTAAAAATTATTTTGGGTAAAATTTGTATCCTCCCTATTTGACCAAACTTTTTACAAAAATAGTAAAAATACTAGGGGATGGGGGGGGTGATTCCAAGTTTTTACCACCCTTTTTTAAAGCAAAACCCCCTACATTTGGGTTTGGGAAGGGGGAGGGTTGGCGCCCGCGGGGCCATAGGTTTCCCCCCTTTTTTGTTTTTATTTCTTATGTTTTAAATCCTATCGCCCTTTGGACAAAACCCTTTGAAAACCACACTATCCACATAAGGCCGGGGGCCCCCCTTTCCTTTTTACAAAGGCTCCTAATTTTCCAAACACCAAAAAAAATTTTTTGTCACGTTAGTTTTCCCCCCCAACTTGTTTCCTTTAAAAAAACCTTTACAAAAATGTCGTAAAATTTCTAACAAAACATTTTTTAACAAAATGCTCCCCATACAAAAAAATTTACAAACCCCAATAAAAATGAAAAATTTGCCTCCATTCCCAAACCTGTTAAACACCCCCCCAAAAATAATTTTTCAACCTCCTTAAAAACTCTAAAAAAAAATTGCCCAAAAAAATTGTAATATTCCCTTTTTCCTTTTTACTTTCATTTCCCCCGAAATCTCCACTTTAAAAAATGATATTATTAAAATTTTTTAAACAATTCAAGGAAAGCCTAAACCCAAAAATTAACACCCTGATTAAATTTTTTACAATTTTGACTACCCAACCATCAATACCTAAATAAGAAGCCTTCACCAACAATTTTTTAATTTCCCAAAAGGGAGCATACAGGGAGTTTTTGGGTATGTACCCCCCAAAAACTATTATTTTCTTTATAAAACCACGTAATTTGTCAAAAAAAATATTAATTATCAAATTAATCTAAAAACTTTTTCCCTTTACTATTCTTTTTTGGTCGGATTTTTTTCCGGACACGGAAGGCAGGGTTGAAGGGGCCCTTCGGCAGGGCTCATAAACCCCAACAAAAACAAGGGAAGAAACCGGGTTTCGTCCCCGTTTTTGATTTTTTTTTGGAAAAAATCAATTAGGGGTAATTTTTATCGAGTTTTTATTATTAATATGATCGGGAGTCAGTGATATTTTACAGAGGTCTGTAGAAAGGGTGAGGGGCCACACACAGGACAAAACCATAAGATCAACCAGAAGCCAAGTAAAGAAACGTTATAAACGCTACATAATAATAAGGATATGTTAAAAAAAGGAAAATTTAAAGTAAATATAGGACAGAAAAAGTCGAAAAAAAAGGGGTTTGGAAATGAAAGTTTGGATTTGAGGGGAGGGGAGGAAGATGGAGGGATGAAGTGTTAAGATTTTTGGGGTGGATGTGTCAAAGTGATCTGTAAAAAGAAATAAGAAGTAAGTTTTTTCAGGAATACAAATACGTTACTAGATTTTTAAAACATAGCAGCATATGTTAGAAATCAGGATAACCCCAAAAAAAGTCAGACAAAGTGACTATTATTTTTTTTTATTATTATTTTATTTTTTAATTTTTATTATTATTATACTATAAAAGATATAATATTTATTATTATACTATAAAGGATATAACTAGGAAAAAAGTAAAAAGAGTTTTTTATATTTACATGTGTGGTTAACTAAAAAAATAAATAATAATTCTCCCCCTATCGTCACTACATTCATTAGGCACTTTAGGCTGCTTTTTTAAAACTGGTTTTCTGCTATGACTCTTTGACATGTGGGGAGTCTTTTCCATTTTTTATTGCTGTTAATAAAAGGTGTTTGAAGCCTGGCCCACTAACTGTGGTACTAAAAAAGTTATGTTCTCTCCTCTTCTATGATACTTTGGTTCCCCAAACCTTGAAAAAAATTGCCCCAAGATTTTCTGGACACTGTTGTAAGAAATTTTTATAAACTTGATTTAACTTCAGTTGTTTAACTTGTCTTCAACATTCAGCTACCAACTGTTGTAATCACCCGGGCTTACATGCCTTTTGGACCAGCCCAGGACCCATCTCCAGGACCCACTCCAAAACCCCAGCCCCGGGATATATCCCATTTTGTTCTGGCTGATTGCAGTTTTTTTCAGTTTTTTGTCAAGGCAAAAAACCTGAATCATAGAATCATAGAAGTGATGGGGGGAAAAGGGGTGAGTATGCTCGGATAAATCTGTGAAGAAAAAAATGCATTCAGGAAAGAAAAGGAGCAATGATGAAGTATAGTTTACAATGTTCTTATATGGGTGTGAAGTATGGATGGTAAATGTTGCAACAAGGAGAAGGCTGGGGCAGGGGAGATGTCTGTTGAAGCAGTGGTGGTGTAATTTTATGCAGGAATCCATAGTCTGGAAATTGGGGAGGAGGGGTGTGTTATTAAAAGTTTTTTGGGGGGTGAAGGGGGGGTTTGTTGAGGTAGTTCAGACTTTTAGAGAGGATGGAACCCCCTTAAACCCCTTTGAGGGTTTTGTCGTATAGTACGTCTTCGGTAGGGGTTTTTTGACGTACTATACTCTAAATTCTAGCGACCTCAAATCTAGTGGGAGAAAGCGGGTAGGCCTTCATATAAAGAATGGGCTAGGTGGCGTGTGCACATCAAAAAAAAATCCGGGCAGCACACGGTGCATAATGAAAAAAAAAAAAATTTTTCCCATTTTTTTTAATTTAAATCAGCGCTTTGCTGTATTTCGTTAGTTTTTATTGTTGTTTTTTCTAGTTTTTTGGGGTTCATTTTAAGAATGGAAGCATTTTACAAAAATGAGATGATTTTTGATGGTTTTACAATGAAAGGTGCAAATTGAGCTCAAAGGGGAGAAATGTTCGATTTTTACCAAACTTCAAAAGTAAACAAATCGTGCCAAGCGTGAAATTTCACGCAACTGGTGAGTCTAATATTTTTTTCAAAGTGCACCAAAATTTTTTAAACCTTTTTTACACTAATGCAGTGTTGCATAACAGTAAATCTTATATTTTTTGTTAGAATAAAAATTAAAAGTGGAAAGCAAAAAAAATAAGAGGGCTTGAACGTGACAATGACTAAAAAATTCATTTTGTGCCAGGAATGTCTTTCTTGTTTATTCTGACCCTATTCGGAAATTGGCATCTTTGAAATTTGTGTGAAATTGGCAAAATTGCTAAATTCTGACCACTGTACTGGATAGTTGTATTTCATAAATGAGTGGTTTCTTGCACCCATTCGATAGAAAAAATAGAGTTCTAGCGGAATATTCATGTTTTTTGTCGACTAGTACAGTGAAATTGGCCGAAAATGGGGCTCAAAGTGGGCAAAATCGCCGATGCGTAAACATCGCCGAGACCGCTAACTTTGCGAGAGCATAATTCCGTAAGTTTTCTATCAAATTTCAAACTTTTGGTGTCTTTATGATCGGGAAAAGATTCTCTATCTTTTCATAAGAGAAAATAATTTTTTTTTTTTTTTAAATTTGGCCGACCCTGAGAACGAGTTTCGGAGAGGGCCTGTCGACCCTCAAAGGGTTAAATCACTGGTTCACTATCTGTAAAACTGGGCCATAGAAAAGGTTGTGTGATGTGACTGTGCTTATTCATTTTGCTTATGGAAGAGGTTTCTGTTTTGCAGATGGTACTTAATTCATAGAAGTAGAAGAGAAATTGGAAAATATGTCTGGAAGGGTGAGTAACAGATGGAAATTGAAAGTTGATGGTACAAGTACAGCCTGCGCAGAAAGTTATGAAGCCAGCTGCATGACAAACTTGATCATTGCAATATATGGTAACAGGCGGTTGAGGTCCGCTCTTTCTAGAAATCTTGGGAAAAACTTAAATACCAATTGCAAGTAGGGTCATGCAGTTTCAAGAGTGGCCTCATCAACCTATGAGTCAGACTGTACTATGTTAAGTGAAGCTCAGATGATGGTGTATTAGAGGGATGCTAATGTTAGAAGAAGACAGTGTTTTGTTAACTTCTAACATTATTATCCATCACATATGACAGCATCTGAGCTTCAGTGAACATAATGCAGAGTTCAATCCAAAGGCTGATGAGCTCACTCTTGAAGCTGCATGTTCTTAACTTGCAATTGTTGTACAAAAGTCCAGACCTCAACCAATTGTTGCCATGTGCTTCATCAATCCAATGTTTTTTACTGCAGCCGGCATCATACTTTTTGTGCAGACTGAAGGGTTTGGTGGTGGAAGTGCAGTACCAGCACTTTGAAAAAGTCCAATGAGATGTTGAGGTTCTGTTGATTGTTATTGGATCATAACATCTGTATCCTTCGGGAGAGTCAGTCTGGGAGACAGTGACATTGAGTGTGTTTTCTTCTTTGGATTTTCCCCGGCTTTTGTACAGAACGATCAGTGTGGTGAATTATTTCTGTTGAAATTTGAAAAGAGGTTTATTTTAATTACATCATGAACTGTCTTTTTTAAATTCCTTGTCTCATGCACAGGATCGACGTGGGCATCACACACCAAGTAACAAGACGTCTGAGGAAGACATTGCTTTTGTAATTCAACATATTGCTTCTGTAAAACAGATGAGAGATGAGACAGTCTATACTTTATCTGGTAACCAACATCAAGGGACTCCACATGAACGCATTTCTTCAGAGGTCACAGGAACTGTAGGAAAAGAATTATCGACAAAGAAGATGTATGAAGTATATAAGAGAGTGTGTCAAGAGGAGGGTAGGACACCTGTTAGCCTCTGGGTATACCGCCACATAGAAAAATCTAAAATAAATCAGAATAATTCTAAGAATGGTGAGAACTTGGAGAATGGGGATTTTATGCATTCCAAAAACCAAACGGTATCAAGTATCACTGACCATAAATCTGTGACGAATGATAATCCAAACACATGTAATGGTGTGTCAGAAATCCAAGAACATGTAACTGATACTGGAAATGTAATAATGTCCAATATCAGCAGAAACAAGAGAAGTGGAGGTTGCAGAACACAGATGTCACGAAAAGAGAGAAAGCAAAAAGAAACAGTGGGGAAGCATATTTTACTGCAACAGGAAAGCTCAAGAAAGAAAAATTTTACACTGACAAGGAGTGTGGGTGTAAATACCGATGCATTCCTGAATTAGGCACACCAGAGAGCAGGAAGAAGGTATTTGATCATTTTTGGAAGCTGGCAGACTTTACAAAGCAGAATGCATATATTGCACAAACAGTAGTTCTAGTTCCTGTCGTTCAAAAAGATGAGGAGAAAGTAATAGAAAGATTTACAAGAACGTACACAAGGATATACAATGTGCAGTTTAAGGTAATTTACATTACTTTAGCTAAATAGACATTGAATAGTATTTATTTATTTATTTATTTTATGTCTGCAAACAGTACATTAAGAGACTACTGCAGTACTGTATATGTATGTACAATTAGAATACATAGTCAATACCATAAGTAATTTTTAGCAATTACTGTAAGCATAATTTTGACTGTTGATAAGACTGCATTAAAGCCATTTTTAATGCATTTTCAATCATTCATTCCAAATAATTAATGGATAATGATAATGTAACTACTTACTGTATTTTGTCAGCTCAGTCATCCTGGCCTGATAACAGAGGTGTATTTCTCAAAAACTGTTTAGTACAAATGATATGCAAAACATATCGTTTTTCAATGAACCAGCTGTATCTCACCAAGGCAGAGTGACCTAAAAAGAAAAACAATAGTTTTTTGTTTTTAAATCTAGTAATTTATACAGGAGAAGGGGGTCATTAGCCCCTTGCTCCCAAATATATTTATATTCTGATTTACATTACTGTATATAATCAACAAGGGATAAGGAGGTTAGAATTTTTTCCCATAAGCCCTGTGTGTCATAAAAAGGTGACTAAAATGCTAGAAGCAAGGGGCTAGTAACCCCTTTATTGTTGCTAAAATAACATTTGAGGAAATTTTGCATTTTGTGTGTGTGTGTGTGTGTGTGTGTGTGTGTGTGTGTGTGTGTGTGTGTGTGTGTGTGTGTGTGTGTGTGTGTGTGTGTGTGTGTACTCTACTGATTGTGGTTGCGCGGTCGAGACTCAGTCTCTGTGGCTGTCTCTTCACTGAGTGCTACTAGGTCCTCTCTCTCCCTGCTCCATGAGCTTTATCATACCTCATCTTAAAGCTATGTATGGTTCCTGCCTCTACTACCTCACTTTCTAGGCTATTCCACTTCCTGACTACTCTATGACTGAAGAAATACTTCCTAACATCCCTTTGACTCATCTTGGTCTTAAAGTTCCAATTGTGACCCTTTGTTTCTGTGTCCCCTCTCTGGAACATCATGTCTCTGTCCACCTTGTCTATTCCATGCAGTATTTTGTATGTCATTATCATGTCTCCCCTACCCTCCTGTCCTCCAGTGTCATCAGACCAATTTCCCTTAACCTCTCTTCATAGCACATTTCCCTTAGCTCTGGAACTAACGTTGTCACAGACCTTTGCACTTCCTCTAATTTCTTGACGTGCTTGATCAAGTGTGGGTTCCAAACAGGTGCTGCATACTCCAGTATGGGCCTAACGTACATGGTGTACAGTGTCTTGAACAATTCCTTACTAAGGTATCGGAATGCTGTTCTCAGGTTTGCCAGGTGCCTATATGCTGCAGCAGTTACCTGAATGACGTGTGCTTCCGGAGACGTGCTCGGTGTGTGTGTGTGTGCATGAGAGAGAGAGAGAGAGATAGAGAAATAGAGAAATAAAGAGAGAGATAGAAAGAGAGAAAGAGAGAGGACAGTGAGAACCAAGCTTCTGTATCACAAGACGGGCTGAAAGCAGCAACTTCACTCTGGCTGTACCCTTCTCCACAACATCACTTTATCTGAGATCATTTATCCCCAGGATGACTCGAGTCTGGAACACATTCGTACAGGATTATGATGTCAACGAGATAAAGTCAGTTGATCAGATGAAAATGCTGGCCCACAGATGGCTCCAACTTCATCCTGTTCACTACTTGTATGTCTCATGACAATAAAAATGCTTTCAAATAAGCTGATGTAGGTAACAGCTGTTAGCTTGTCAATAAAGTTAGGAATCCTTAACCTGTAAATAGCTTGTCAATAAAGCTAAGGATCCTTAACCTAACCTTGTCAAACCCTGTGTAAAAAAAAAAAATATATACATGTGTGATATATATAATATATATATATATTATATATATATATATAAATATATATATATAATTTATATATATTATATATATTATATATATATATAATATATATATATATATATATATATATATATATATATTATAATATTATATATATATATTTTTTTTTTTTTTCAACAAGTCGGGGGGCCGTTTCCCACCGAGGCAGGGTGACCCAAAAAAAAAAAAGAAAGAAAATCCCCAAAAGAAAATACTTTCATCATCATTCAACACTTTCACACACTCACAACATTATCACTGTTTGCAGGGGGTGCCCAGAATACAACAGTTTAGAAGCATATACGTATAAAAGATACACAACATATCCCTCCAAACTGCCAATATCCCAAACCACTCCTTTAAAAGTGCAGGCATTGTACTTCCCATTTCCAGGACTCAAGTCCGACTATATAGAAATAACCGGTTTCCCTAATCCCTTCACTAAATATTACCCTGCTACACTCCAACAGATCGTCAGGTCCCAAGTATCATTCGTCTCCATTCACTCCTATCTAACACGCTCATGCATGCTTGCTGGAAGTCCAAGCCCCTCGCCCACAAAACCTCCTTTACCCCCTCTTTCCAACTATTTCGAGGACGACCCCTACCCCTCTTTCCTTCCCCTATAGATTTATATGCTTTCCATGTCATCTACTTTGATCCATTCTTTCTAAATGACCAAACCACCTCAACAACCCCTCTTCTGCCCTCTGACTAATGCTTTTATTAACTCCACACCTTCTCCTAATTTCCACACTCCAAATTTTCTGCATAATTATTTACACCACACATTTGCCCTTAGACAGGACTTTCTCCACTGCCTCCAACCATCTCCTCGCTGCTGCATTTACCACCCAAGCTTCACATCCATATAAGAGTGTTGGTATTACTATACTTTCATACATTCCCTTCTTTGCCTCCATAGATAACGTTTTTTGACTCCACATATACCTCAACGCACCACTCACCTTTTTTCCCTCATCAATTCTATGATTAACCTCATCCTTCATAAATCCATCCGCCGACACGTCAACTCCCAAGTATCTGAAAACATTCACTTCTTCCATACTCCTCCTCCCCAATTTGATATCCAATTTTTCTTTATCTAAATCATTTGATACCCTCATCACCTTACTCTTTTCTATGTTCAAATTTCAACTTTCTACCTTTACACACATTCTCAAACTCATCCACTAACCTTTGCAATTTTTCTTTAGAATCTCCCATAAGCACAGTATCATCAGCAAAAAGTAACTGTGTCAATTCCCATTTTGAATTTGATTCCCCATAATTTAATCCCCCCCTCTCCCGAACACCCTAGCATTTACTTCTTTTACAACCCCATCTATAAATATATTAAACAACCATGGTGACATTACACATCCCTGCCTAAGACCTACTTTTACCGGGAAGTATTCTCCCTCTCTTCTACACACCCTAACCTGAGCCTCACTATCCTCATAAAAGCTCTTTACAGCATTTAGTAACTTACCACCTATTCCATAAACTTGCAACATCTGCCACATTGCTCCTCTATCCACTCTATCATATGCCTTTTCTAAATCCATAAATGCAATAAAAATTTCCCTACCTTTATCTAAATACTTTTCACATATATGCTTCAATGTAAACACTTGATCTACACATCCCCTACGCACTCTGAAGCCTCCTTGCTCATCCGCAATTCTACATTCTGTCTTACCTCTAATTCTTTCAATTATAACCCTACCTTTATACTTTTCCTGGTATACTCAGTAAACTTATTCCTCTATAATTTTTACAATCTCTTTTGTCCCCCTTTCCCTTTATATGAAGGGACTATACATGCTCCTCCGCCAATCCAAAGTACCTTCCCCTCTTTCATACATTTATTAAACAAAAGTACCAACCACTCCAACACTATATCCCCCCTGCTTTTAACATTTCTGTCATGATCCCATCAGTTCCAGCTGCTTTACCCCCTTTCATTCTACGTAATGCCTCACGTACCTCCACCACACTTACATTCTGCTCTTCTTCACTCCTAAAAGATGGTATACCTCCCTGGCCAGTGCATGAAATTACCCCCCTCCCTTTCTTCCTCAACATTTAAAAGTTCCTCAAAATATTCTTGCCATCTACCTAATACCTCCCTCTCCCCATCTACTAACTCCCCTACTCTGTTTTTTTAAAGGACAAATCCATACTTTCCGTAGGCTTTCTTAACTTATTTAACTCACTCCAAAATTTTTTCTTATTTTCATTAAAATTTCTTGACAGTGCCTCTCCCACTCTTTCATCTGCTCTCCTTTTGCACTCTCTCACCACTCTCTTCACCTTTCTTTTACTCTCCATATACTCTGCTCTTCTTATAACACTTCTGCTTTTAAAAACCTCTCGTAAGCTACCTTTTTTCTCTTTTATCACACCCTTTACTTCATCATTCCACCAATCACTCCTCTTTCCTCCTGTCCCCACCCTCCTATAACCACAAACTCTGCCCCACATTCTAATACTGCATTTTTAAAACTATTCCAACCCTCTTCACCCCCCCACTACTCATCTTTGCACTAGCCCACCTTTCTGCCAATAGTCGCTTATATCTCGCCTGAACTTCCTCCTCCCTTAGTTTATACACTTTCACCTCCCTCTTTCTTGTTGTTGCCACCTTCCTCTTTTCCCATCTACCTCTTACTCTAACTGTAGCTACAACTAAATAATGATCTGATATATCATTTGCCCCTCTATAAACATGTACATCCTGGAGCCTACCCATCAACCTTTTATCCACCAATACATAATCTAACAAACTACTTTCATTACGTGCTACATCATACCTTGTATATTTATTTATCCTCTTTTTCATAAAATATGTATTACTTATTACCAAATTTCTTTCTACACATAGCTCAAGTAAAGGCTCCCCATTTACATTTACCCCTGGCACCCCAAATTTACCTACTACTCCCTCCATAACATTTTTACCCACTTTAGCATTGAAATCCCCAACCACCATTACTCTCACACTTGATTCAAAACTCCCCATGCATTCACTCAACATTTCCCAGAATCTCTCTCTCTCCTCTACACTTCTCTCTTCTCCAGGTGCATACACGCTTTCTATAACCCACTTTTCACAT